CAGACTTGAACATCAGCGGCTTAGTGTAGCACTTTTCCACCATTATTCCTCTCCTCCCTCGCTCCAGTTGAGGCCTGCTCCGCTGCCACTGGCTGCACAAATATTTAGCTTTTGTTTATGTTCTGCACAACCGCACAAACACGAAAGCGCTGAGCATGTGATATGCCTGTCTTCACTTGAACCACCGTGTTTATTGCTGAAAGTATTTCAGCTGGACTAGGGATTAAAATAGGGAAACGTTGGGCAACAGTTGCACAATTATCTGTTTTCAAATTCCTCCTCCTTTCCATCGTGGTTACCAGTGTTTCTATAAATCTATATCAAGAAAGGGTATGTGTTTTACATCGGTGCACAATGAGCGTTTCCTCCCATCCACATGTTGGCAGTGCAATGGCCTTTAGCTAAACCTCGAGGAAGGCCGCTCCCCTGCAAGACGGTAAACAAATGACTTAATGTTTGCATGTATAATCAGTATCACAGACATGGTGAAATACTTGTGGTGCAGCAGAGCTTAGTTGTTTTTATTGTCACCTCTGTCCAATCATGCTTTAAGAGTCAGTCCACTGAAATAAACACACTCTGTTATCTCTAGTTGCATCAAGGCATGGTTTTTAGAGGTCTCTGAAATCTCTGCCTCCTCCCTTGAGTGAATAGAACTCGATTTGCCTGAAATGTGTCACGACAGGACCGTCTCCTGTGTCTCTCTTCATCTGTTCCCATCAACATTAAAAGATGGCAGATATCCTGATTTTTAAAAAAAACAATAAACAGAGCAGATTCAGGTCCAGTGACAATAAACATGGATTTATGTATATATGAACGTGAGACCTCTCAATGTTTAGGTGTGTGTGTGTTTCGGGTGGGTGTGGGTTTTTAATTTAAAATATTTTTTTTTGGGCTGCTTCTTCACACTGAGAGCAGAGCCTCAGGCGATGGCTTGAGCCTCGAATTGTTTTGTAAGGGAAGCTAATTTCTCAATGCAGAGGGAGTGGAGTTACCCCCTTCAGGGATTTCACTCAGTCTCTTCACACTTCAGCTCAAAGCTCGCTTGTCAAATCAGTTGAAGCTTTTTTTTGTCCTGAAGTGATGACTTGAAGTGCTGATTCCAGTGTAAATGTGCTTCAGTCTGGTTTAAAATGCTGCAAAGGTTGCACATTTAATTATGACGATTTAATATTTTTGAAGGACAGATTCTGTTTTTGTGCCTGGCCACAGACAAATTGGGCTGAGAGGTACTGTTTTTCATGTAAATGACCTGACTTAACTAAACATTTAGATCTTAATGTTTTGCGTTGCAGAGTCATACGGCTATAAGACTTGATATATTTCCACAAACAATCTGCTGCGTTTATATGGAGACTCTCTGTTGAAAATATATTTTTCAGTTGGTGAAATTATAACAATGGCCCCTACTGGTGATAAGTTGTGAAGTAACCATGAAATCCACAAGGGAAAAGTTGACCCAGTGTCCAGAGGCAAAGTCATTCGTGTGTGTGTGGTCACACTCAGCCACACTTGACCTCCGCTGCACTGCAGAAATATGTGATTTGTTCTGCAGACTGAGTTTTCTCTTTTCGCTCACAACTTGTAGCGCAGACACACAGTTATCACATATATGGAACAAACTGTTAGCTGTAGCTAACTTGAGGTCATGTCCTCGATATTGTTTCAGGAAATTTGGGAATTTGGGTTGTTTTTTAACATCCTGAAAATGAGTTTCTGTTCTGCAGTTTCACATGGTGAGTGTTTTTAAAGCCTGGTAAGCCTCAAATTGGACTTTTTTTTTTTTTTTTTTTTTTTTAGGCTAAAAACATGCATGAAAACAGTAACATTTGGTATTTCTCCTCCAGAAAAATATTCTTGGCTTTGTCAGAAATGCTTTGAAACGGCACATAAACTAGAATATGCCAAAAGCTTGTCTTAGCAGTTATATTATATGACACTGGGAGGCTTTTCCCAAGTAAAACTTGTAAATTCAGTTTGTTTCTAGTGTAACAGAAATTTCCATCTGTCAGTTTCACCTGTCAAACTACTGCTCTGGACTTTGTGAGACTGAAACTCATTTTCCTCCAGTTTCTCTGCTACTACAGTTTTCTCATGTTTTCTGTCTTAAGAAACCTGAACTTCCTTAAAATCCCAGATCCTTTTTAAAGGTTAACACATCTTTCTTGTGCCCTTGTGTCCATCCTCCATCTGCAGTCTTTGGCCCATCCTCCTCCTCCTGTCTCGATGTGCATCATTCTGCCCTGTTGGGCCGCCGGCTAATGACAGACATCACTGCACATGTTGGCTGCACAGAGCGAGAGCAAAAGATGCCTGTGACCTTTGCTCTGCTGACAGCAGCACTTTACAAGGCCATGTTGAAGGAGACTGTGTGTGTGTGTGTGTTCGTTCGTGCTCGCTCCATATCGTGGAGTAATGTTGATGTAGGCGTAGACATCAGCATTCCAGTGGCAAGTCCATGGAGATGACCAGTAAAGTGGTTGGCATAAAGCATTTGGAAGAAAAGAACACACAGCTCATGGTGGCTTTGCAGGGTTAAGCCTCTCATATGGCTGAAATCACACACCTGAGAAAATGTTGCACTGTGATGAGTCAGACAAGCTCTCATCATCTCAATGATGACGAGTGAGTAGTTTTTGTGTTTTTTTTTTTTGTTTTTTTTTTTTTTTTGTTTTGGTTTTTTTGAAGGCTCAAAACAAGCAGCATTGCAGTTCCAACCACTGCTGCATCAGCAGTGTCTCACATTTGCACTGTAAAGTGTGTGTGTGTGTGTGTGTGTGTGTGTGTCACACAAGCATGTAAGAGTTTCTTCAAGTAAGTGAGAAGGCAGGGGGAAAGCAGTGATGTAAATCCACAGCCATGCAGAGCTCCACAGTCCTGTTTGGCAGATAAATCTGTGCTAATGGAAGCGGGAGGAAGGTGTGTGTGTGTGTGTGTGTGTGTGTGTGTGTGTGTGTGTAAAGAAACCTCCCTAATCAGCTACAGGGCTCAATCTACCAGCCTACATGAGCCTCCTCCTTTAATTGCTGTAAATCTATGAAGAGAGGCAGAGATTAAGCCTGCACACTCCTGCTGCATGTTTTACATTTCTGCTCCAACTTCCCATCTGCGAGAGAAAGCAGCTACTGTACACAGTTTTGTGTGTAACTTACATGTGTGCATCCATGCGTGTGTGTGCAGCACTTTGCCACAGGCTGAAGTGGCTCTGTGGAGAAAGGATTTAGTGCGGCAGAGATTGACTTTCATTGACTGGCTGTTAAGATGAAGAGGGGGGGGGTGTGTGTGTGTGTGTGTGTGTGTGTGTGTGTGTGTGTGTGTGTGTACTCGCTGCACTCTAGTCTGGTCTTAATAGGCTTTGTGGTTTTTCTATCATTGCTCTGATCCAGAGCCCAGCTGATATCTGGGCCAGTGTCACACTGACTTCAGCTCCAGACTTTCACCACTCACATGCTTCCTCCTCCCTCACCCAGTCTTTCATTACATGCTCATGTCACTAATGAAGACACAACCTGAAATCCTCCTTTGCCAGTTCAACTTCACTATTGGCTTGAAGGAAATTTGGTTTGCAGTCAGGCATTAAAAGCCTTAGTCTTGATCCTTAATGTAAGCAAAAGTGTGGCCCCACAACTAAAATTCAAAACAGAAGATTGCAACCATAAACTGGATTGCAACCTGCTGTTATTCTGATTGACTGTGTTTAAGCAGGGTTTTGCAGTCAGATGGATTGCTCCCCAGAGGATGAATCCTGATGACTTTGGTGATCCTGAATTGTCCTCTGGTGCCACCATGAGGTTCACATTTGTGATTTTTGAGTGAAAAGTCTCAAACTATACTATAGGGTGCATTGATTGCAATGAAATTTAGTTCAGATACCCCTTTGGTTTATGACCAAACTGAAGACATTCCCATCAGCCTAAGCTGTCCTTTGTGCTTAGTGCTAATCAGCAAATGTTAGCATGCTAAGAGAGTGCAACACTAAGATGGCTTATTCATAGGGATACACCTTATGTCATTAGCATGTCAGAATTTTCATTATTGATACTGTTAAAGTTTGGTAAAATCAGTAATATTGGCCTATTACTTCAATATGAGAAGGTCTTAGGTTTATTTACATATATAACTTAATTTAAGGTCCAAAGAATTACAGATTAGGCCCTCTTTTTTTTTTTTTTTTTTTTTTTTAAATGCAAGATCACAGAAATGCAGCAATATGAAAGTAAATAAACTTAAAAGCAAAAATGTAAACCAGCAGTCCTTTCTTGTGCTTGCATAATGCTAGAGTTCTCGCCTGCCTTCACTTTTACAGTATCTAACACTGGTAATTACACATGTACAGTACTGAGCTTTCACACTCCACAGACTCTAACACCTCTGACTTCTCTCTGCACACTCAGCCAGTAAGTATTTAGTGCTTGTCTGCTGCTTGTGTGCAATTCTTTGGGAAGCTAAACTACTTGCCAAGCAAATATGAACAAACATGTAGCCGGGGAGGGCGGGTGAAAGCATGTCTCGTCACCATGGCTACCATACCAGACAGAGCCATTGCCATAGCAGCAGTTTGGAGCAAAGAAGCAGCCAAAACAAATGAAGGAAACACAGCCGACCTGCTAATGTTTCATGGCCAGTTTCCAAAAGCGCTTGAGTGTTAATATCACTCAGCACTATGTTGTAGTCAGTCATTTTATTCTTTCAGGTAGCGTTAACTGTGATTTATGTGTTAATGATGAGCATAAATACCGTGCTGCAGACTTCATACGTGTCTGTTAAATGGGCTCAACGGTTCTGTGAACTGTCATGTTTCTTTGAAAAGTGGAACAGGCATCAATTGCTCCAGAGAGTCTGTTTTTTTTTAAGAACTTGTATTATCCGCTGCAAAATTGCCTAATTTCCTTTGCTTTCCGATTTCTACACAACAATGCTGAACTTACCGTTTTGAAGTAATCAGTGTGAATTGCGGGTCAGTTAGCGTTGTTGTTGTTGTTGTTGTTGTTATGCAGGTGCAGCATCGTGTGTCGGGCCAGGTAATGGCTCTGAAGATGAACATCCTGGCCAGTAACAGAGCCAACATGCTCAGGGAGGTCCAGCTCATGAACCGACTATCACACCCCAACATACTCAGGTAACATTTGTTTCCCGACTTGCTTCTCATTTTGTTTACGCTGGGTCGCACAGTATAATTGGATCCTGCTCTTCTTTACAAGATTCCTGCGCCATGTGTGCTCCTGTGTCCTCCATGAGAAGAGCTTTGACTTAATCTATATATTTGTCTTGTTCTGCTGCTAAAGTGTTTGTCTGCTGTGCCTCCAGGTTTATAGGAGTGTGCGTGCACGAGGGACAGCTCCACGCTCTCACAGAGGTAAGACGCTAGTTAGAAGAGTACTGAGGCATGTTTAAGAATCACTATCCCTGATAGCAGTACATCAAGCATGCATACAAAAAAGCAAGTCATGATGTTGAGTCAGACAGATTTAGGGAAAATTATCTAATTGCAATTTGTCCGACCACTATTTCTATTGCAATATAGATAAAAATATATTAAATATATTTAAAAAAGTACACCTTTTTTTTTAAACCAGTTTCGTGGAGAAAAGTTTATGAAACTTTTAAAAAGTGGCAATATGATAAATTTTTCAAAACAGTGTCCTTCAGAAAGAGCATTAAAACAAACTGTGGACTGATCGAGGAAACGGGACAATAAAAAGAGGAAAAACTCCCTGCACTGTTTTTACAGTTCATCGCTGCACAGCACCAGTGAGACATTTAGGTCCCAATTTCCCAAAACAATAAGTGAAGCAGCTTTCATATCAACATCCAAGTAATTTAAAACTGGAATGAACTCACTGTGCATAGATTTGTGTGTTTTAGTAATTAACTCCTTTTTGTTGCTGTTGAATCCAGTACATCAACGGCGGGAACTTGGAGCAGCTGTTGGGCAGCGACGTGTACCTGCCGTGGAGCGTGCGGCTCAGGCTGGCTCTGGACATCGCCCGGGGACTGCAGTACCTGCACAGCAAAGGCATCTTCCACAGGGACCTCACCTCCAAGGTGACGACACACTCACACGTCAGTGACAACATGCTGTGTGTGTGTGTGTGTGTGTGTGTGCGTGCGTGTGTGTGTGTGCGCGCACACACACACACAGACTGGTCCTGCACCTGGTCCTAAGGTAGCCATGCTTATGTATTACCTGCACAGATGGCACAGATGCACAATAAACAGCTGCTAGTTAACATATGGCTGTTCCACAAGAGAAAGTGAACGCACTGAAATGGTTGTTCTAACATGAGTCCTGTAACTGCAAAACATTTAATGAGTTTTGCTTTTAGGGTAGATTTTGAAACCATAAAAAGCTCTGGTGCAGATTTAGAGGCTTTGCAGGTGCGTCACAGATCTTAGGACTACATCTGGTGCCGTCATTGAGCTCCAGTGCTGAAACTGGCTCTGTGCCAACCAGACAAGCAAAAGGATCTGTGGGAAATGTTAAGCTGTAGATGTATGTCAGGTCAGTAAAGTTTGGAATGAAAAATGAATATTTTCATTTATAGCAGGCTCATGAAACGGGAAACTCAAATGGCTTCCAGCTAGATTGTCATAAACCAGCAGCTGGCTACAGCAGTGGGCAGCTAATCTTGATAAGTAGACAGGAAAGCTGTGTACTCATAAGCAAACATGGTTTATTCAGCAATTTTTAAAACGGATATTTAAAAGGAACGTGAAAAGAGACAGATGACGATGAATTACATGGAGACAAAGTGTAAAAACAAAAAAATATAAAGCTTAAAAAGATAATAGTACACTGTTTTTAGCCTCTGCCATTTTATTTCAATATGAAGTATAAATACTTCATATTGGAAAATGGCACAAAAATCAAACATTTGTTCCTTTTGGGCCAGATGACCAAATTGTAAGTTTGTAAACATCAGCCACCATTGCTTTGGAGCTAAAATACTTCTATAGTACACTTGAAATATACTATTTAAAGTTCTGCACACTAAAATGTTACATCACTGTTGAAAAACGCACAAAGGGCAACATGCAGCCATAAAGACACACACACACACACACACACACACACTCTTAAGAGCAGTAATAGTGATGTGTGTGACCTCTGACCCCTTTGAGCAGAACTGCCTGGTGCGCTGGGAGGGATGCGTGTGCTCGGCCGTGGTGGGAGACTTTGGTCTGGCAGAAAAAATCCCACATTACAGGTCAGTCATTCATCAAAACGTCTATCAACACTCTGTGATTAGATAAGTCACGCTCAATAAATTATATTCCTCCACTTCTCTCTTTGTCCTATTTATCTCTCCTGCCGAATCTGTTGGAGCAAAGTGTTCACAAATGTCTCCCATAGCTTCTCTTTTCACTTGGAGACACTCAGATGAGACAGAATCACACACACACACACACACACACACACACACACACACACACACACAGACACACAGACACACAGACAGACCCGTTACTCACACCAAAGCACAGTCATTGTTTTTCCAAAGTATGCATTTATGCTGCCTCCCCTCCAAATGTTGTGGTTACCCCCCTTCCCTCCACTGTTACTCACTCTTTGGGGAAGTTTTATTAATATTGTGAAGCATCATTTCAAGGGGGAAGAGGAAAGAATGGCTCTGCTTGCAGCGGTGTTTTTTTTTTTTTTTTTTTTTTTTTAAATGCAGTGACATTTATGTGGCATATTTTATTCACTGCCATCACCTCAGCTACCCAGTTTAATATTCCTCTGCTGATTTTCCAGTGACATCATGTCTCCCGTAATGGTTTATGATCAAATTCTGTACTTCACTTAAAGTAGTAATACCGCACTGGGGGAAATGGTCCACAGTGCAGAAGGGAAAAGTCCTAAATTGAACATTTTAATAATGGTGCTGTTCAAATAAAATCTCCCAGAATTTAAAATATAAAAGTTTATCAGCCATGTCCAGTGAAAACCTCTCCAACTGTTTTTAAATATGGCTAATAGCCAGTTATAAAAATATTCCAGTTAAGTACCAGTTTGTCAAATTGTAATCAAGTACAAGACTTCAGAAAAATGTGTTGTGTATCGTGTCACGAACATATAGAGCATCAGCTGGATTGTTAGGAGTGGGATGTCGAGGCCACTGCTCACATGTTTAGACACACCACTACATGCTGTTAGCTCTTCATCCTCTCCTCCTCACTCTGCCTGCAGCTGTTTAGTAAACACACGACTCTTGCTAAAACAAGACAGCGTCACTTATAACCTGTGTGTGTGTGTGTGTGTGTGTGTGTGTGTGTATTTATGGTGCGTTTCAGTTGGCTTATTTTTTGCCTAGCCACCTTTTTGTGTTTACACAAGTGTGTCTCTGTCATGGGGGGGGTAACTTCAGTGAAACTTTGGTGATTTTCAGTCTTTTGACTAAACTTTGATTTTCAAAAAACCTGTCAAGATCCGTCAAATGAGCTGCACAATGATACAAAGTTGATATTGTACACATGCAAAGCTTCACGTGTGTGTGTGACTGTCATTGTGTGGTTTTTTTTTTTTTCATACCTGCAGCTGTCAAACATGAAGCCTCTGTTTGCTCCAGCCTCTGTTTCAATAGCAGCTGGTGAATTGTGTTTCCGTCATTTTCAAGGGCATGTTTGCTTTATATTTTAGTCAAACACTGTATCCTGTAGCGGAGAATAGATTATGTTGACAACCCTTCTCGTGTGTGTGTGTGTGAGTGGCATGAAGGAAAGGAAGGATGGATGGGGTTTAGGAAAGTACTCCAAATAAGGTCAAACTATTCCAGTCCTCCTCCTTTTGCTCTTACTGCCTTACTGGATCTCTGCTGCTCCTCACATAGCAGGTCACTCTTGTCCTGCTACTCTCCCATCATTCCTCTGGTGTCTTAGCTCAACTCTTTCTGTTCGTTTACCAGCTTTCTGTTCAGCTGTTTACCCTCCACTGCTTTCTGCACGCATTCTGTTTCCTAGTTTCTGTCGGTCCACTTCTCCAAATGTTGTTTACATTGGGAGCCACTATTGTCTCAGCCCCTAATTTCTCCCCCACTGTTTTTATTTTATTTTATTTGCTGTATCATAAGCAGCAGTAGCAGATGGAAATAGCACAGAGGAAGTATCTGGGGTGTGTGTGTGTGTGTGTGTGTGTGTGTGAGAGCACGTTGTCCTTGCACATTCTTGTGTTCCTTCCTTTTTTATTCAGCTAAAATTGCACAACACTATCTCCACTTAACTGCAAAACACTGTGGTTTCTTAGATACAGAGGAAGTGCGCACTCACACTCGGGTTTCACCTCATAAAACCCCTCTTGATTGAGTTCTGCGTTAAACAAATGGGTGGACAACACTACTCAAGCATGCAGGCATCACGCTCCATTTCATTATCTGCCGTCGTCTCGTACAAAGTGCAGCTCTCCTCCTGAATGGAAAATGTGTTTATCATTTTGTCGTGCATCTCTGTTGGGACTCTGAAGTCTAGAAACACACGTGCATTATTTTCTTCTGATGCAAACTTATCTGCACATCTTGATGTAGTTTTACTATTTAATGTCTTCATTATTGTTAAATCTACTCATTATTTTCTCAGCCTTGGCCTAAAGAAATCAGAAAAAGGTGGAAAAATGGCCAAGGCAATAACCTAAAACCCAAGGTGACATTTTTTTTGTCTGACCAGCAGTCCAAAACCAAAAGATATTCAATTTAATGATATACAGGTGAAACTCAAAATTAGCATATCATGCAAAAGTTCATTTATTTCAGTAATTCAACTTAAAAGGTGAAACTAATTATATAGACTCATTACATGCAAAGTGAGATATTTCAAGCCTTTGATATAATTTTGACGATTATTTCTTATAGCTTATGAAAACCCCAAATTCTAAATCTCAGAAAACTAGAATGTTACATGAAATCAATAAAATAAAGGATTTTAAATACAGAAATGTCAGCCCTCTGAAATGTATAATCATGCATATGTACTCAGTATTTGGTTTGGGCCCCTTTTGCATGAATTACTGCCTCAGTGCGGCGTAGGCATGGATACTATCAGCCTGTGGCACTGCTGAGGTGTTATGGAAGACCAGGATGCTTCAACAGCAGCCTTCAGCTCTTCTGCATTATTCAGTCTCATGTCTTTCATCTTTCTCTTGGCAATGCCCCATAGATTCTCTATGGGCTTCAGGTCAGGCCAGTTTGCTGGCCAATCAAGCACAGTAATCCCATGGACACTGAACCAGGTTTTGGTACTTTTGGCAGTGTGGGCAGGTGCCAAGTCCTGCTGGAAAATGAAGTCAGCATCTCCATAAAGCTCGTCTGCTGAAGGAAGCATAAAGTGCTCTAAAACGTCCTGGTAGACGGCCGCGCAGACTCTGGACTTATTAAAGCACAGCAGATGACATGGCTCCCCAAACCAACACAGACTGTGGAAACGTCACACTGGACTTCAAGCATCTTGAATTTTGTGCCTCTCCATTCTTCCTCCAGACTCTGGGACCCTGGTTTCCAAACAAGATGCAAAATTTGCTCTCATCAGAAAAGAGGACTTTGGTCCAATGAGAAACAGACCAGTTCTTTTTTTCTTTAGCCCAAGTAAGACGCTTCGGACGTTGTTTGACAAGAGGAATACGACATTTGAAGCCCATGTCCAGGACCCGTCTGTGTGTGGTGGCTCTTGATGCAGTAACTCCAGCATCAGTCCACTCCTTGTGAAGCTCCCCCACACATTTGAATGGCCTTTACCTGACAATCCTCTCCAGGCTACGGTCATCCCTGCTGCTTGTGCACCCTTTTTCTTCCACACTTTTCCCTTCCACTTAACTTTCTATTAATGTGCCTTGATACAGCACTTTGAGAACATCCAACTTGTTTTGCAATTACCTTTTGAGGCTTTCCTTCCTTGTGGAGGGTGTCAATGATGGTTTTCTGCACAACTGTCAGGTCAGCAGTCTTCCCCATGATTGTGAATTCCACTGAACCAGACTGAGAGACCAATTAACGGCTCAGGAACCCTTCGCAGGTGTTTTGGATTAATTAGCTGATTAGAGTGTGACACTTTGCGCCTACAATACTGAACCTTTTCACAATATTCTAATTTGCTGAGATTTACAATTTGGGGTTTTCATAAGCTGTAAGCCATAATCATTGAAATTATATCAAATAAAGGCTTGAAATATCTCTCTTTACATGTAATGAGTGTATATATGTGTGTGTGTGTGTGTGTGTGTGTGTGTGTGTGTGTGTAATATATAATGTTTCACCTTTTTAAGTTGAATTACTGAAATAAATGAACTCTTGCACGATATGCTAATTTTGAGTTTCATCTATACAACACCACAAAAATATTCACAATAAAGCAGCTAGAACCAGAAATTTTTTTAATTTTTTGCATTAAATAACTGGGTGGTGATGGCGCAATGGATAAGACTAATGCCTTTGATGTGAGAGACCCGGGTTCAATCCTCCCTGAGCAAGATACTTAACCCCTAGTTGCTCCAGAGGCGTGCGACCTCTGACATGTATAGCAATTGTAAGTCGCTTTGTATGAAAGCGTCGGCTAAATGAATAAATGTTAACTAAGAACTGACTGATTACTTTTGATTGACTAAGCACTCAATCTATGAATTGTTTCAGCTGTTTATTTGCCATCCCGAGGTGTGAGATTTATTTTAAAGCAATGTCACCCAAATCATCACAAGGTCATTTTAAACTGAGGTGTTGTGAAATTTATTTGATGGGGCACCACTAAAACATTTATTGTGAAGAACATATATTGTTGTTCATATTCCTTTATTTGAACTGATTCATAAGCCTTGAAAGAAACATAATCAGACCCCAACCTGTGATATTTTTAAAGCAATATCCCTAAATTTAATATATCACAACCTTCAAATAAGTGCGGTTTTTCGTGTTTTTTTTTTTTGTTTGTTTTGTTTTTTTTTCTTGAAGCTTCCTTTTCACCCCTGTCCTCAATGTATCCCTTCTTCTTCCCCTCTCTCTGCAGTGAGGAGGAGGAACAGGAGCCCCTTGCTGTCGTCGGTTCCCCCTACTGGATGGCCCCGGAGGTGCTCAGAGGAGAGGTGTATAATGAGAAGGTACTGACGGATCGCTTTCTTCATTATCAGTCAGCTGCAGAGTTCAAGGTCCACAGTGGGCGCGATGAAAGCCAGTCAAATAAACCCGGCAGTAAAGCACTTAAGCAATACATATTTAATAAATCAGTTATTATGTCGAAGGCAAACAGGAAGTTATATAAGGGATGTGCTTCTTGGCCTGGGCTACTTGTATTTTTCTGTATAGCCAAGTGGAAATCTTGATTGCCTGTTGAGGTTTCATTTAAGGGATGATGAGATGACATTTTCAGTATTATTCAGTCTGGAGGAGGAGGAGGAGGAGGAGGAGGAGGAGCCCATAAAATAGAACATATTCACTTAACTTGCATAATCAGATTTCCAGACATCCGTATCTACAATACATTTAAAAAATAAAAGTAAAACTTGTTATTGTAACCTAACAAGAAAAATTGAAGACTAAATGGCCCATTTGCCCTCTTTTCCAATTTTATTTTTTTTGTCTTGGCTAACTAGAAAACATAAACCAAACAATAATAATAACGTTGACATTTGATCTGCTTAACAGAATATTGTTTTGGTATTTTATGAAGTTTGGTTAAATGACAGGTGATAAACCAGAGTATTAAAAGTGGGTTTCAAGTACAATATAAACCGTATATGGTAGCTGACTGTTCCTGTTTTTTTATTATTTACCGCTCGATATAAATATTTGATCGACTCCTCTTCCTCTCTCTGCAGGTGGATGTGTTTGCATACGGGATCATCCTGTGTGAGGTTATTGCGAGAATACAGGCCGACCCTGACATCCTGCCACGCACTGAGGTACCACTGAGAGAAAAAAAATATATAAATTAAAAAAAATGTGTGTGCGCGCCTGATGTCTGTCAGTATTTCAAAAGCACCTCCAGCACATGATTTGTTGTGCAAGCAGCAGTGTCAAAATGACTCACCACACTTTCACCATAACACAGTTGATTTTGAAAAAGATGTAAATTATGGTAGATACCGAGAGATATCAAAATGAGAACAGCAGATGAGCAGTGTGAATCTCCTGCTCACTTAAGAGACATGATAATTCACCCAATTCCACATCACATACATATTCTGAACAGGTTTGTGTGAAAGCAACAAAACTAAGTATATTCAAAACACTCAGTATAGACAAAGTATGCTTTTGATGTTAAATTATGCCAGAAAGGCAATGGACATACAAAACAGTTTTGCTTCATGCAATGGCACTCAAAATTTGTTTGACATCTATTTGTACACGAATTGTACACCCTTCCTTCTTGGCACAAACTGAGTAACGGCATACATAAAATTTAACTTGCATACTGTAGACAATTAGGATGGATTTGGGACACAGCAGGAGTGTTAAAAAACCCACACTGAAAGCCTTTGAAGATATCACGAGGGAATTTCTCCCCCTTGTGGCTGTTTCATAGTACAACAGTTGAGACCAGCTGACAGTAGTATTTCAATTAAAGTGCTCTAAATAAAATAAATCTGTTATATAAATGTAAACTATGTGTAATTTGGTTGGTGTCTTTGTTCAGGACTTTGGTCTGGATGTGGAGGCCTTTCAGCAGATGGTGGGAGACTGTCCTCCCGACTTCCTGGAACTGGCCATCGCCTGCTGTAATGTAAGAAACGCACACCTGGCACACTCACGCATGCTCAGTCCTTTGGTTTATGATATCTTTATTCTCTGTTTCTTCTACTGTTCTCTTCTTTGCTGCAGGGTCACTTGTGCACATTAGCATATTTTGGGGGATTTCATGATAGTGAGAGAGCCTGAGGAAGTACTTGGGTTGTGCTTCATGTCAGCTGAAGTTTAGGTGCACTACAGTAATACATAATTCAACAATGCCAACTAACCACATCTTCCAAAATGTTCATTTGAATCTACGCCTTTCTAAACATGAATGTAGGTTTTATTGCAGGAATTATAATTAACTACATTAGACTCAGATTCATTTTAGCTCAGTGTGCCTAATAATAAAGTGGAAACGGCGTATGACGCCTGATAATAAATGGTAACTTTGACACAAACATTTATCGGTAAAAAGAAAAAGCAGCTAGCTTTCACGTTGCCTCTTCCGTACTAAATGCCAAATGCTGGAGCATATGTTTTATAGAGTTGTGACGAGATCTGATGATATTAAAACGTGACGATATTTCTTGTCGAGGTGAAAAGCAGTCTCACGATATCTGCATGACGTGAGTGTGAGGTTGGAATTGGCACAGAAGATGCTACCGCCACTTTTTAAATTGTTTATGTGGCAGCATTTTGGGTACCCGGTGACAGACAAGACACGAACAAATAAGGAGGAAGTGCAAGCAACATTTCAAAATGCACCTGCTTTGTTTTGCATTTTGTAGCTTTCAGTTGAATCAAAGATTATCTTTCCAGTCATATATTTTGTCATTGACGATTTCTTAATAATAGAGTAAAAATATTGTGGTGTTGTTTAAACAAGTCCTCAGTTTCGTGAGTTGATGGATGACCAAATCAAATTGTACATTCATGACAAGCTCAAATCAGTCTGAATTTTGCACTGCAGTTGTTAAGCTTTCTTTTTCCCCGCTCTTTCCTGTAGGCGCACTTGTTCAATCTGTTGAATTTTGCCTCTTGTTTTCTCCCACCTGCCAGATGAATGCAAAGCTCCGTCCATCCTTCTCCCAAATTGTAGTGGAGCTGGAGAGGAGACAGGCCGAGAGGAAACAGAAAGACGAACAAACAGTCAAAGGTGAGTCATCAAACGCTCTGTAGACAACAAATAGTAAACGTTTGTTCTTTCAAATTAATATTGAGCACTTTTCCTTCTTTTTCTTCACAGCTGTTTGTCCAGCGATAGACCCGCCTAGAAGGCGATCCCTCTGCCTCTTGTCAGATCCTCGCCTCTCCCGCAGCAAATCTGACATGCTCCACCCCCCAGACGCGACCCCCTCTGTTACCTTTGCGACCCCTGCTCGAGTCAACCCCTTCTCTCAGAGGGAGGACCTCAAGGGCGGCAAGATCAAGCTGTTCGACACTCCCAGCAAGTCTGTCATCTCGCTCACCTTCACCCTGCCCCCGCTAACAGACTGCGATGACCCCTCCGAGACAAACAGCGGTGACCTGCACCGGAGGCACAGGCGCTGCCACTCGCTGCCGTGTACACCTCCTCCGCACCTCACGTCTGTGCCAAACAATGTCCTTACTGTGGAGGAGTCACAGTCTGAGATAGACACTGTAGATGGTGAGACAAACGGAGTGAGTGAAGAAGAGAGACTGCTAGAAGAAGAGAAGGAGGTCAGGGAGGAGAGAGGAGCTGATTCAGGGCTTCCTCTGTCCCTTGAACCTCTGTCGCTGGAGAAGGAGGAGGAGGAGGAGGAGGAGCCCATGGACTGCACCAGCTCCCCAGACACACAAGACAGCACTTCATCTCCTTATTCCACATTATCTCCTCCTCCGTCCCACTCCTCAACTCCCATCCAACCCTCCACCCCACCCTTTTCAAACGGCTGGGGGTCAGCCAACTCCAACGGGCCCCCGTGCCTGCCTCCCCTCTGTCATTTAGACAACGACAATGTGGTTGTGAGTCGACCCCTGGGATGGAACACCACCAACGATCCCACCACAACAAACAACAACAGCTACCACTCCTCTCCCAGCGACCCCGCCGGTTCGTCCCCGTTCGGGTCCGGCAGTGGACACTCTCTGGACCAGGAGGAGGTGATCTCCTGTCCCGGCTGCTGCCTTGCTGGGCTTCGCTTCCCCTCAATGTGTCTCAGAGCTCCACCACGCAGAAACCCCTACAAGAACTTGAACGGGGACCATGCAGCCTCACGCGGGCTGCTTTGTCCGGGACCCAAGGGTCTGCCTCCCTCTCCTACTCCCACAACCGCCACCACCAGCCTGGAGCCGGGACTTGCCTTGCCGGGGGCGCAGACATAAACTAGACTTCTCAACACCAAATACACCCAGAAAAGATGTTTGGAAACTCTGCACCAAAACATCCTCTGGAAATTAAGTGGTTCTTCTTAGAATTTGCACAGATTTTAACGCAGCAATACCCTGCTTATTTTCTAGACACACTTTTTGGTGCAGAGCAGGCAGACAGTGTCCAGATAGGTTTACTGAAACATGAAAGCTGCAGGATAAAGGAACTGGTGTCTTTCCTGAGTTGCGTCGTCCTCTGCTGGGCTGAGGGCGTCACAACTTAAGGTGTCGGCTGTGCCTGCGTAGGTCTGAGTGTTGATCGGCAGCGTCCAGAATGATTCAGCATGTAAACACTCCAGTTTGGGGCCCAGTTAGTTAAATCCTGTATATATGCAGATGTAAAGATTCTTATCCCTGATGATATTGATGATGATGCTGAAATGAGGAATGTTAAGCTTAGTATTATTACTGCTGCAATGATTTTTGATGTTTTGGTGCTGTTTCTGAATGAACAGGCAGTTTTGCTTTAATGTCTTTAATTATCAAGAGGTGTATGGTGCACTGCTGGGGTGTGTGTGGTTATATGGACATATGTTAGAGTGTGGTGGATTCAATGTGAGAGGCTGGATGTGTGTGAGAGTGTGTGTGCCATACACCATACTTTTGTTGCTGTATGATCTCTGTTGGCCCTTCTGGTTGCCTGGTTAAGCACTTCAGATGTATTACTGTTGTTAATAAGGAAACTATTGATGTCATTATTACCATTGGGAATGAATGGTCAGAAGACCTGTAAGAGATGTACAGATTCGTATTATTTAAAGATGAGATTGAATAAAAAGATAGAATGCAATGATGTTCTCATGATAATTATTTGGTAGCAGCACGGCTCTGGGGTCGGTTGGTACTGAATATATCTTAAATTACTAGATGAATCTTGGACAAACATTCATCGTGCACAGACAATGTTTCCTGGTGATTTTGGTGATCCGATGACTTTTTCTCACCACAAGATTGACATTTGTGATTTTGAGTGAAATGTCTCGACAGCTATTCGTAATGACATTTCATTTAGACATTTGCGTTCCCCTTAAAATGAACTATAATAACGTTGGTGACCCATTAACTTCTCATCTATTAGTCTGTTTTTTATTTTTATGATCAAACTAACTGCAAAACCAATTATCATACCCACCACCCTCAGCTGTACTCACTAATAACTTCTGCTAAAGGAGGATGGTGAACATGTTCCTCCTTCCATGGTGATCAGTATCAACATGCAAGCATTGTCATTGTATGGGGTTGGCACTTACTTTAGCAGCATAAACAAGAAGACATGCTAATAATAAAGATGTTTAACATTTGAACACTTAGCATTATGATTGTTAGCTAACCCGTTAACATTAGCATGTAGCTCTGTAGCGTATACAGTAAAAAAACAAAACAACTAATAAGTTAAACAAATGTGGTGAACATGGTGGACATTTTTTCTTGCTCCGTATCAATGGGTTAGCACTGTTATTGTCGGCATGTTGGCGTTAGCATTTAGCAACAAAGACCATATTTCCCTTAACACGATGTAGACCTACATTTAGCGGGTAAAAACCGGGAAAAACTCAATTCTGGCAGATGTTTTTCGACACCATATTTTCTACTTGAGGAGCTATTTCTAAGACACTTCATTTATAAATGTATCCCAATTTCACACAAGTATAACCAAAAAACACAGAAAAATCTGTGTAGTTTGGGCGAAAAGATAGAAATTACAAACTCTTCCACTGGATGAGCTCTGTGCTTGATTACATTGTACTGAAGGTTCATGTTCCCAAAAGTTTCACTTTAATCATAAGTTTATCTTCTGTCTCAGTGTCTGAAACTTCTCATCCTCCTAAGTAGATTACAGCCTTTCCTCTCCCTTACAAAATCACTGTCCTTCAATTAAATCCTTCTCTCCACCCCTTCCACTTGCTCCTGCTAACTCCAGCCTGTCATTCTCCCCTGCAGCTTAGTGCATCTCCTCCTCAGTGTGTCTCTACAGGTGCATGTGTCTTGCTTTAAAGGGAGTTGGTCACCTCCAGTACTGTACAGGCTGTAGTTAAGACCCTCGCAATCTGGCTCACTTGATCCAGGGGATCACAAAGTTGCCATGCAGACATCAGGTGTAACCACGGGTCAGCTGAGAGCACAGGTGAGGTTGTGCATTACAGTCGCCCTGCTCATGAATGGTGAGTACTGACGTTAATAACACAGTTGTGCTAACTAATAAGTGTTTTTAGTTTACTTTTAGTAGCTCTTTCCTGTGTTTCAATAAGCCATTTTGTCCTCTGTGTGCCCACGCTTAAGTGTTAACAAAGTTGTGACAATCAGACTTAAGGGGTCAATGAGCATCTGTGTGAGTGTGCTATTTTGGTGTACCTGTTTCGTGTGAACTTCCCAGGGTCGACTGGGTTAGTCTGCTACACTACAGTGGAATCACTGGATTTAGGCTGCCTCCTGCAGTGGGATTGTCCTCATGCCAGTCCTAATACCACCTACACAGTGCAGACAAAGACTCAGGGGTAAGTCCTCCTGTCTGAGTGTGTGTGACATTCCTGTGACTTCACACAATATGACACTTAAATTCTCATTATTATCTCATCTATATGGTACACTACACATTTCAACTTAGGTTAGTAGGTTTGTACAGTCCTTTAGATCAAGTGCTGCTTAGAATAACACTCACAATAAATTTGTGTAAACTAATTTTTTTTTTTCTGCACACAGCAAACAAAACAAAATAGGTGGGTGTCCCCCATTTAAGAAAAAATAAAAGATAGATATAGATATCAGCTGACAAAATGATTAAAAAAATAAAAATTTATTTTAAAAAGATGAAATAATTAGACATGACTTTTTTCTAAAACTTTCAGAAGATAAGGAGCTCCTAATAATGTGTAGGCTGGCATTTCATATCTGTACAGTGTGATATCTGTGGGAATACAGACCATGTTTTATAAAAGGGAAAATGAAGATGGTCAATTACAATGGGAACTATAAAATACAGTATAATCATACAAAGCCAACACTGCCTAACGATCTGGTGGTAGTAAGATGCAGTATTGTTAGGCAATAATGTGTTTTGATACCTTCCAAAGAATTTGGCTGGTGCTTCTTTCACACCTGGAGCCTGGTCAGCTCTCCAGTCTGTATGTCTCTGTGAGCTTCATACAGCGCTAATATGTTTCTACACACACTGAAAAGGGACTCATGAACAATATAACCAAAGCAGCTTTGTGCAGGGAGAGTGAAATTACAGAAAAGACTGGTTTTAGAACAGTTGCGGGTTGTAGGCCTTGGACACATGAAAAGAAAAGCATGGATAAACTGGTCTGTTGCATAATAACCAGGCCAGGAACACACTGACTAAAGAGATCAAAGCTGCAAAGAGGAGCTACGCTGAAAAGCTAAATAACAGCTTTGCAGCCAACGATCCTGCGTCAGTGTGGAGAGGCCTACACTCTCAAACTACAGGAGACCATCCCCCAACACTGCTGGTACTCAACATCTGGCAGACGAGCTGAATGGCTTTTATCATAGGTTTGAAAAGCCCACAGTCACACCTCTCCCCCGCTCCACAACCATCTTCAAACAATCACCTTCCCCCTCTGACACAACTCCCGTGCAATAATCCAGTAACTCTAATCAACCACCTGTTTACTATTGCAGGGACCCCTGGCAGGACGTATCGTGGTGCGTTTGGGTCTCATCCCGCAGCTGTGACATCTCTCAGGCCTTCTCTAACTTTGAGCTGTACAACATGATCCGTCTCAGTGTCCACCTCAGCCCCAGCTCCACCGTCTGGATCGAGCCACGCAAGTTCGACTACAGTGACTTCAGTCAGTGACATGACTTTCTGTAATACAACAGTGTCAAAAACAAAAATACATGAAACAGAGAGGCAGCAGGCTTGCCTCTCTCTAGTCTGTGGAGATTTGATTGGTGGAAATAACAGTAATGGGATGAAAACCTGCCGGCTCTTGTTTGCACATGCTTTGAAACTGTTAAAATAACCTGCTTGAATGTATGTGTATATAATGTGTATATATAATAGGAATCCTAGGATAATTAACAGCCCCCTTCTCTCCTCTCCCCACCCCAGCCTTCAGCGCTCCCTCTGTCTTGGTCTCTTTGAAAGACGACAAGCTGCTGGTGCAGGTGCAGTTCCCTTGTGCTGCCAACAGGAGGTGCTCTCTGGAGAGGTGCTGTCCCATCTCTGAACTGATTGATCCCTGGACCACAGTGACTGTGTACAACAACCTCAATCACTCTGAACTCCAGGTCTGACATGCTTTGTTGCTCAAAACCCCTGCATACTAAAAGGGAGTCCATATTTAATTCATAGCCAGTTGCCCAGTAGAAACCTGGCATGCTCTTTCCTGTAAAATTCTCATTTAGTAAACAACGTTCAAACTTGGATCCTGTCTGTGCATCCATTCCTAAAAGTTTAATTTAGACTCTAAGAGTATAAAATACAAACAGTTCCTGACGGTGAATTACAGACACAAACACTGATGTTGCTGTTTAAAATCCACTTGTCGTTAGTTAACATCACAGGGTTTGTGTAAGATTGTGAAGGCCTTCTTAATGCTAATGTAATGTAACCGCAAGCAAATATTGGTTCTTATGTAATTCAGCTCAGCGTCAGTGAATTGTTTGTACTCTTTGAATCTCTGGTTTTATTCTGAAAAAGCCATGGCTTTGTGTTTTTGCAGAGCCGTACAGTTTGGACCCAGGAAGTAGTGTCCTATGTGGAGTTCTCTGGCTTGGCTCCTGGTCAGAACTACTGTGCTGTGGCCAACTTCTCCTTCCCGACCTTCTCCATGGCTGCTTCCCCGAAATCTGCCCCTCGGTGTGTCCAGACTGTTTCCAAATCAGGTGAGAGGAGTCAAATTTCTACTTTTGAAGCATCTTCATGAATGGGTGGCTGCAAGATGGTTAAAAAAAACAAATGGGCTGATTTAAAATAAAAGATTTCAACATAAAATCATACAAACAAAAGAAAAGGTGCAAATGAGATAAACCTAAAAATAAATAGTTGAGCAATGTAATGAGAGAAATTCAGGCTTCTATGAATTTCTCTTCCTCAACATCATCTCTTAAAGGTTTGTGTTTTCCATATATCATAAATGTATTTCATTATCTGCGTAAGTTACATTCTGCAGGTAAGAGTTTAAGGTTACATAATCTAGGCCAAACAGGTGTCCTTACACATATACCATAAGATGAGATATTCAAAACAGTTTTTCCAGGAACACTGAACAGTTGTGCAGTCCTGTAGACAAGAAACAATGGACTTTGCATTTTTCTTAGTCTTGTTAGTTTTTGGTTGATACGGCAATTAAAATTTAATGATCTTAGAGTAGGAACTGGTCACCACAGCACTGAGGGGTTGCACATATTGGGAACCATTAGGTTACACTTCAACTTCCACTTCAGGGGTGAATATGTTCCCTTTGTTTACCTCTTAAAATGTACAGAACCTAACCCCTGTCTCACTACAGAGTCCAGTTAGATCCTGTGCCAGTGGCTCGGCTCATTCTGCAGCCTCACTGCTGACTCACCTTGTTTACTCTGGGTGTTAAATTATGCAGCGTTGCTCGTACGTGTTTGTTGGAGCAGAGATTTGTGTCTTCTCTTCAGGGCTGCTGCCTGTGATGTTTCTGGGAATCGGGCTGACGTGTCTGCTCCTCGTTCCACTTCTCACTGTGTTTCTGCGAAGAGCAAGACGAGCCGCACCAGCCGCTGAACCTCAACCCAAGACTCCAGTATGATTTATTTTCTCACACTTTATTTCTCTGCCTGTTTTCTGTAAAC